TTTTTTATTGCAACATGAAAAACAGGACTGTGTTTACCAAAATGGCTTTATTATTAGCTCAAGAGAATTCTTTGTGCAACTATTACAAAAGTAATTCAAAATCACAATACTAGATTTTAACTTTTTTATTTAGATCTTATTTTAGCCTTTCCGTTAAAAAATCAAGCAATAAAATTGTTCAAAATTACAAAAGTTAAAAGCATAGATTGGGTTCATGGTTTAAAAAAAAAAGCCAGAAGAAAAGCTGCAGGACATGGCTCCATGAATTAGGTCAAAATGTGGCAAATAGTGACCTCTCTAAATTCAACATCAAGTATGTCTAAGGAAGGAACTGCATTACCAGGCTACACAATAATGATTCTCTCTAGCTTAAGCAACAGTTGATATGACTGCACCTACTGTATGCCTCTGATTATAGCTCTCTCAACATACACATAATTTTAACATTTTGCATTGTTGCTAGAGGTCATTTTGTTCAATTTCTTCTACAAATGGGTTCTCTTTTTGGCCTCTGGGTTACACACATTGGGATTTTGACTAATTTAAACTGCAATAATGAAAGACATAATTTCCATGCATCAAAACTAGAAGTGATTACCTGTTTCTACACACTTCTCATCAATCTGCATGTCATCTTTTTGTATGTTGTAGACAAGAGAAAGAAAATATATGAGTTCATATATGAGTTTAGAGAACTCATATAAAGATAGAAACAATATCTACCCCATGGCTGTTTTTATCCTATTTTATTTACTATTTCATATAGTACAATGATGTACAACATTCTACAATGCTTTTCTTTTGACTAAAGCAAAGATTACTGTATTCTGATGGCCATCAGTTGGAATATAAGTGGAAAAGATAAAAAACAAAATGAGGCTCATCAGAGTACCCATTTGAAATCTCCAACACTGAAAGGAGCAGAATACATTAACTACTCTGCCCTCATTGCTTTTTTTTTTTTTTTTTTTTGCACTTTCACCTAGATGTTGAAGGAAAAACCAGAACAGTTATTGACTACATGAGCCTGGATGGGATTATAGTAGCTCCAATGGTTAAAGAAGATGATTGATGCCTCCTTGCAGTGGGGTCTGTTTTTCCTGAGGTAGTTATAAAACCTTTTTCAATCTCTACAATCATAAATCAATCTCAGCTTCTCCATTTCTAGAACAGGTGAGCTATCTTGCCCTCTGTTCCCTTGATCTCTTTCAGTGGAAGCATCAGAGCAGATGGTGGACAGAATGGTGCAGGAGGAAGACAGCAAGAGGGAATCTTGTTGTCAAAGAAGACTTCCAACTTGGTATTGCTAAATGCAACCCTATGGCTGAATAAAGAAGCTACTGAAGGAAGAACCATAAGGATGACTTGGTCCGCTTGATTGCTTCATTTCACAGACAATATTGTCCAAGAGTGCTGGTAAAAAGACATTTTCACACAGTTTGTGTGGGTATGTGTGATTGTGTATTACATACTCAGGTAGTCCTGGCTTAACCACATTTGGGACCAGCAACTCCATTGCTAAGCAACACAGTTGTTAAGTGATCATACAACCTCACTTCCACTATGGTTAAGTAAGTCATTTCGCAATTGTTAAGTGAGGTACTACATGACAGCACCAGGCAACTTGATTGCTGGCTTCTTCATTCACTCTGCTTTTGGGAAGCTAGTTATGAGGTGTGCAAATGGTGACCTCAGACCACAGGATGCTGTGATGGTCATAAGTGCATGAACCAGTTATAAAGTTATTTTTTCAGCTCCATCATAACCTCACAAAACAGGGCAATCATTACGCAAGGACTACCTGTATATGGAGGACAGATCTATTTGCTCTCAAAAAGGCTAGAGAAGATAATACATCCCTACATTTTGTTTTTTGTAAATAGTATTTCTAAAGCTGCTTGAGTCAGCATTTAATTTCATGCTTGATATGTGTTTCTGAACTGTTACGAAATTATGTTATGCGTCTTTAAAATTATTATTAAAACCAACATTTTGGATTTGAATATGCATTCTTATCAGTTTCAGAAATGTTAAGACACCATGAAACAGTTAATGTACAGAGAGCAAGGTTACTTATTTTGTTCATGTATTAATAAAATACAGGTTCAGGAATACAGATGCACGTGCGCACACACACTCACACACACAGAGAGAGATCCCATACATTAAAATGGATTATAGACAGGGAGAAGATGACTAAGATATAGTACACAGGGGTTTAGCAGAAAATAGATTGGGATCAACTGGTAAATTCGGGACACTGCAGAAGAGAGCTTGGTTAATGTAGGGTTACAAAAAAAATCAAAAGAGTCTGGCAGCGTCTCTTCTGACTAACATAATTTATTAAAAGGCATAAGCATTACCTTCTAAGTTAATGTATTTTAAATCTCTATTGAAAGTCAGAGTGGAAGCTGTTAATCTGAAATCTCTTTATACTGACTGTAGAAAGTTTTTTAAGAATATAGTTTTTAAAAAAATCTGTCATAAAATTCATGGAAATGATACGAAAAGAATTTTTTTTCTCTTTTTGAATTGTGCTTCATTCTTTTGAAATCATATGGTTGCCACTGTATATATACCATTTAGATAGCAAAGAATGAACTTTTGATACAGACAGAATATTCCTCCAAGTGGTATACAGGTAGCCCTTGACTTACAACAGTTTATTTAGTTCATTTAGGGATCGTGTAATCACCTTTTGTGCCCTAGTGACATGCAAGCTCAATGGGAAAGCCAGATTCACTTAACAACCATGTTGCTAACTTAACAACAGCAGTGGTTCACTTAACAATTGTGGCAAGAAAGGTCCTAAAATGGGGCAAAACTCACATAACAACTGTCTTGCTTAGCAACTGAAATTTCAGGTTGAATTGTGATCATAACTTGAAGACTACCTGTATTTGAACAGAGACCATTCAATTATGTGACAAATTATATCCCAACATTGTTATAGGATTCTGAGTAGTATATCTCAGAGAGAGATTAACAATATTAGGTAGGTCTAGTTTGGAGATCTTAGCTAATGTGACATATATACACATATACACACACTCGTACATACATATATATACATACACGTTTATGGAATCCAATTAGCATTACTGACCTTCTTCCACAAAATTCACTATTCATGGGAAATTCATAAAAAAAAGAATATATACACATCATCAGAGACATGAATGAATAATTCAATGCCTAAGTCAATGACACAGAGATTATTCTGATAACGTTTATACCTTTGTAAACTAAAGCATAGTAAATGATTTCCCAACAATTCTCTCCTGTATTTAAGACTAAATATTCTTAGGAATCCTGTTTCTAGACTGACAGGATTATTAACAGGTTTGGAATTCAAACTATAGCATTTTTGCTGCTAAATCTAAGTAGTCTAATTGTACTCTATAGAAATAATTGAGTAAGGAAATATATTAATTACAGAAACAGTTCACGCACACCTCATTGTCAGAAATTTATTATACTCACAGATTGATTTGACGCAAGTGTGGAGATGGAAGGGCTGAGTCCACCAGAATTCTCGCTGTTTCCTAGACAGAAGAAGGGAACATTTTCTAAAATTACAGAATTAGAAAAAGATTTCAACAGAATTTGGGATTCCTATAGTCTTATGATGAATTTCATGGCTGGAGATGAATTCAAAACCATATTTCCACTACATCTACATTCTTAACCAGGACACAAACCTTAGAAGAGACATTCTTTCCTGGAGAAAAAAAGACTGTCTCTTCTAAAACATTTGGCTGGCAGAGCCAGATATTATACATTTCCCCCCTTTTTTTACATAATCATCACCACCACCACCACCACCACCATCATCATCCCAATCATCATCATCATCCCAAGTTTATTAGAGTTCACGAAGAGAGGATTATAATCCTTCTTTGAGCAATGCTCTCTTTTGCTGGTTTCTCCCTGGTTTTCCTCAGCATCCTAACCAGTGCTGGCTCAAAGGTACATGACACCCCTAGGACACATTGATTGATGGTGCCACCTCTCACTGATGCAAAGTTTAGCATTTTTACATTGATTTGGAAAGAAATATGGTATTGGTGCCCCCTAACAGTTGGCACCCTAAGCCTGTGCCACTTGGTCTTACCCTAAATTTAGCCCTGATCCTCTCTTAGTGGCAGCCTGGCCCTCTGAACCAACACCCACCTGGAGATTTGGATGGCTCAACCCTGTTGGCTTTTCATTAGACATGGAGGACATGGCTATTTTCCCAGGTTATTGGGTCAGATAGTAGATGCACACTGCTACTATTGATGGTGAATAGGATTGTTTTATCGTTGGGTTATGTTTGATGAGCTCATTTGTTTTAATCCTTAAGCTGTCCAGAGTCACTTGTGTGAGATAAGCAACAACAACAACAACAACAACAACAACAACAACAATAATAATAATAATAATAATAATAATAATAATAATAATAATAATGATAAAGTTGGAAGGGACCTTGGAGGTAATCTAGTCCAACCCCCTGCTTGGGCAGGAAACCCTATACCATTTCAGACAAATGGTTGTCCAGTCTCTTCTTAAAAACTTCCAGTGTTGGCGCATTCACCGCTTCTGGAGGCAGGTTGTTCCACTGGTTAATTGTTCTAACTGTCAGGAAGTTTGTCCTTAGTTCTAGGTTGCTTCTCTGGTTAGTTTCCACCCGTTGCTTCTTGTCCTGCCTTCAGGCGCTTTGGAGAATAGCTTGACTCCCTCTTCTTTGGGGCAGCCCCTGAGATATTGGAACACTGCTATCATGTCACCCCTTTGTCCTTCTCTTCGTTGAACTACATAAATCATACATACATAAATATATCTCACTCACTCACTCACTCACTGGCTCAAAGACTGAAGAGAACAGGAGAAAAAGACTCTCTTAGGAGAATTTGACCTTTGTAGTACGAGTCTAATTCTGTCCAGCCTATGAAAACCTTCCAGTGGGCAAAGGTCATAAAGCATTCTCTACACAGGTGCTAGTTGCCTAAAGGTCAGGAAGCCAAGTCCATATGATGATGTCACATCAAATTTTATTTGCACATTATCAACCACTATAGGCTGTTATTCCAAAACAGAGATGTACAGGATCCACCTTTTTGTAGCTGCTACCTTTCTTGCATGGCAGGTTGGGAAGTCTGAGGGAGTTATAGATAGGAAGAAGAGGACCACTATTGCAAAGGGGTTTTAGATTTTTCCCATAGCCATGTAAGAGGAATTCACCATTATTCAGTTAATTCACCAGGATTGCTTATTTTTACCCTTTTCTGCCATGGGAAAATAGATACATTTTCTATTTTTATTCAGCAATGTATTATGTACAAAACCTGCCTGGAATTTTGATCTATTTTAACTGCATCAGGTGCTAACACTGATTTTCTCTATGTTAATAGAGGCATCTTGTATAAGTTGGTTCCCCACATGTTACCCATTAGCAAAAATAAATACACCCCCACTTTCCATACCTCTTCAGAAGGTGATTGGAAGGGATGAGTCCAGCGCAGGCTTTGAGGTTGGAGACTTTCCTTGCCTGCCACCACAGGATGTCCTTTTGGTCTACAATCTGAAGAATCTCTCCTTTTTTAAATGGCAATCCTGCATCAGCACATGGAATGAGAGGGTCCTGACGAGGGCAGTAATCCCGCATTGCACGCACATAGAGCTGGAAGAATAACACGCAAGGTTTCTTTTTAATCATAGAAGTTACACTCCAAAGACAAGGAAATACATTTGTAAAGGTACTGCAAACAGCAAAAGATCAGCTTTAAAAAGCCAAGATATAAGTGCAGTCAAAACATGGCAATAGATATTAATTCATAATAATAAGAACATAAATAATAAGAACATAAAATGATCTTGGAGGTCAGTGGGCTAGGTAAGTAAGAAGCTGCACAGTAAAAGGAAATGATCAGTCTGCAGGCAAGGCAATTTGTTTTTGAGGACAGTTTTGGTTAGGCAATGATGGAAGACTATTTTTTTCTGTTCTTATTCCTGTCTGACATATCTCAACAATTTGGTGGAGTGTTTCATATTGGCCCTAGCACTAGCACCAATAATGCTACCTACTTTGGGTAATAAAACATGTGCAAAAAAACCCCAAACCAAGCTCAGAGAACACCAAGGAACCCTCATTTCAACCCTGAGTTTCAAATATTCACCTCTATTGGTATCACATTAGTCCTTCAAGGTACTTGTCAATTGTTACTAGCTATTGTGGAATAGGGGCCCTAACATCTCACTTGTAGCATCTTACTGATCACTATGGAAATAAAGTGGATCTTTGATCTGATCCAACAAATCAATAAACATGATTATTGAGAATAATTAAAGCCAAAACCTCCTCATGAAGAAACTTAATGCTAACTAAACGCTAACTCTGAGGGATTCATGTATTAACCATTTGAAGGAAAGGAAATGAATCTATGCATTGCATCTTACTGTTGTTTGATTGCAGATGATTCGATCAGAACCTGGAATCAGCTTGAACATGATGGTGCTTTGGGACAGAGTCTGCAAGAATTCAGAAAAAGGCATCTAATGCACTTTGCCTACTTTTGTTGCAAACTTAATTTGATCATCAATACATTTATAATTCTATGAGAAGATATCCCTTTTGACAGGAAGTATAAAATCCATGATGATATTGGTATACAGATAGTCCTTGACGTATGACCACAATTGAGCCCAAAATTTCTGTTGCTAAACAATAGTTCTTAAGTGAGCTTTGCCCCATTTTATGACCTTTCTTGCCACAGTTGTTAAGTTAGCAACATGGTTGTTAAGTGAATCTGGCTTCCCCATTAACTTTGCTTGTCAGAAGATCACACAAAGTGATCACATGATCCCAGGACACTGCAACCGTCATAAATATGAATCAGTTGCCAAGTGTTTAAATTTTGATCACGGGATCATGGGAATGCTGCAGTGGTTGTAAGTGTGGAAAATGGCCATAAGTCATTTTTTTCAGTGCCATTGTAACTTAAAATGGTCACTAAATGAATTGTTGTACGTCAAGGGCTACCTGTATAGTATATGAAGATGCCTGTCCATCTGTAAATTTTAGCTTTACAAATTGTGCAAAGGTAAGGAAACATGTTTAAAAAACAAAGCAGCACCTGTTAGTTGCAACTGATGAAGGAATTAGATTGCACAGTCCCTACTTCTGATGGCTTGGGAACTGCCACAAGGCTCCTCTTTTTCCCCAAGCAGCAGACAGAAGCAACAGATGGGGAAAGTAGCAGTGGTGGGAACAATATTCACACACCCCTTGAAATGAAAACAAAGTACTTCCTACAAAAATAGAAATATGAATATTTCCCTCCTTGCTCTTTGGTACAGTCAAAACAAAAGTCCGCAGGAGGGAAAATAGGACTGGCCAAACTGTGGGCATTACATTGCACAGTTGTGAGGGATCTATGAAAAATGGTAGAAAATGCTCATCCCCTCCTTATAGCTTTTTTCTTCAGGCCATTCAAATCATAACTTTGAAGGATGACTTTATGTTCCAAGCACGCACTTTTGCATTGTTTACATGGTATCATTAAGTGGTATTTAAAGAATAGAAAGCTGATTGTGATTACCAGAATGTGTATGACTTGCTCCGGTTCCAGGCCCTCCACTGGGATTCTATTTACCTCTACAAGTTTGTCTCCAGCATATAACAACCCTACAACAAAACAGTAATGATATTAAGCAGTTGGTCAAAGAATTGGAGAAGAAAAATAGTCTGAATTTCTAAGGCACACCTAGAGTTTATTCCATTGCCCCCATCCCGAATTTAAAATGTTTCATTACAGACAATTTGTGTCTGACTATCCCAGGGGTAGGCAACCTTGGCTCTTTTATGACTCGTGGACTTCAACTCCCAGAATTCCTGAGCCAGCATGGAATTCTGGGAGTTGAAGTCCATGAGTCATAAAAGAGCCAAGGTTGCCTACCCCTGGACTATCCTAACCTTATTTTAATCAGAGTTATCTTTAAGGATGAAGAGCAGATTTCAGCTCAATAGCTTGCCCCCTCCACTTTGGTCCTCAGGTGGGGGAGCAGCTGAAGGGAGTAGGAGACCTTGCACTGTGGTGAGCACAAGCTGACTGCTAGAGTTGGCCTAATGCATCTCCTGATCTGTGGAAAACAATCTCCAATAGAAGTGCTATTATATTGTCTCTCAATCCTTGCCTCCTAAAAGCAAATATGGGATAAGCAGAAGGAATTTAATCATAATAAAACAATTTAGAGAATACCTTCACTAAGAAACATGTTCAGAACATTCAAGAACCATACAGAACATTCTAAAGCATGTATTGAAAATTAGTCCCTGCACCTCCCCAGTGATTTTTTTAACTTTTAGTTGTATTAAATTCACCTTACCACTTTTATCTGCCAGACCTCCATGGATTACTCTTGCTACTGTAATATCACCTGTCAGCTCATGGCGTTTAATGGTGGCACCCTGAGGAAGAGGAAGAAAAGGAAGAGTTGCTTCCTACTGAACAAATGAATAACAAGGGAAGAAGGTACACACTTGGTGAGTGGTGGTATATGGGAAGTCTACAGCCTGTTAGCTATATTAAGATTATAGCTTCCACTTCATGTACTTCCCTGCATTCGTGTGCCATAAAACTAAGCTTGATTCTGGGGACTTACTAGAGTCCGTCAATGTTGTTTTCAATGTTAATTTCAATACAGGTAGTTCTTGACTTACAACTGTAATGGAACCCAGAATTTCTGTCATAACTTCTTGTAAGTTGTAAACACCTTGTGGGTTGTAAGTCGAGGCACCCACATGACTGGATCTGATTTTACTGATTTTTTTTTAATGGCGATTGTTAAGCAATTGCCACAGTTAGGTGAATGTGATGGCCCATAAGCAAATACTGTGGTTATTAAGTGAATCCATGTATTTTTATGGGTGGTTTTGCCAGAATCCCAAAAGGCCAAATACTGGCAAAAAGTGTTATAAATCATGGTCACATAACCATGGAACATTCAAACCGGCCAGAAAGGTGATCCAGTTGCCCAGTGCCCAAAATGCAGTCATGTGACTGCCCAGTTTTATGCAGCTGTTGTATGCAGCTTTTGAAGGGTCTGTGACAATTCTGAACAGTCACTGAGGGACTGTTCATTAAGCAAGGACTATCTGTACGGGATTGGTTTGCCATAAATTTTCTTTTTTCCTATTCCATGGAACCAATGGTTTTGCTTTAGGTGACATAAGCAAATGATACAATCATTATGCAAGTCTGCTTAGATGTGCTTAGATGGACCTGTGGCCTTAGTCTCAGATAAGTGGCACAAAATGCTAGCCATAATTATCTTTTCCTCAAAAAAGAATTACACTAAACATCAAATAGGGCAGACTGCTTTTTAAACGTTTGCTTCTTGTGAATTCAACAACGCATCATGCTTGTGTCCTATACTTTTTCATATTTTAAAACAAACATAAATGAGTAAAATAAAAATTCTAAGATGGGAGGAATGGGGAAGGGATAAGAACTGCCCTGTGATAGTCTGTGGAGTGGTAAACTTGCCATACTCTAAGATAAGCAGTTGCCGTGAAGGACTAAGAAGATATAATACAAATGGAAACACAGCAAACAAACTGAATGAATATAATTAAAATTAAAGTGAAATTGAACATTACAAGAGGTTGGTTGTTTTTCACCAGACAGACAATCCTCATGACCTCTTCGTTTTCAGGGAGGTTTTCTGTCAAGGGTGGAAGCATAGGTTCAAAATCCTTCTGGGCCACAGTATCATGAGCTAATAACAAGGCCTGTGAGAAAGATTAAACACAGAGATGGGATAAATAAATGCTAGGTCATTTTTAATGGGGATGCTTGGATGTAAAAGTTACAAGATAATTTCAACCTAACAATTATTTTTTTTTTTTATTTCTGTGTGTATGTCCATTCAGCCAAAACAAATTGAGGTTTTGTTTTGGTCTAGCATACAAACCTCACAAAGTTCAAATATAATTAGACTGCTTGAATTGGAATATGAAGCCAGATACTTAATGTAGTATTTCCTTTTTCAAATATCAATACAATGGATTTGTGTTAGGAAAAAAAACCAAATCACTCCTTGTGCTAAATGATTTTGGTAGCCTCAAAAGAGACCTTCACGTTTTATAACAGAGAATGATGGATCTTCATAGCCACTTCCAAATCAACTTTAACTCTGCAACTTATGGAGCTTGAAAAAGCTTTTTTCAAAACATATTTAAGTCTCATTCAAACATTAAGTAGAAAGCACAGAACTGTATAATTTTAAAAGGCAGATGGAAAAATTATGTATTCTCCTTTCTCAAAAGCTCCTTACATAGAAAAAGGTAGGTTGGCAAGAAGAAGGCAAGCTGAACTGTTTCCCAAAGGCTTTGTGGATGGATGGGGCCAGTGTTTCCATAGATGACAAGATCAGAGTGTGCTGCTGTTCAGCTCTCCAGGCCCATGGGAAAATCTGTAATAATTGAGGGTTCCTTTTGCAAAAGAAGGGTAAATATCCCTTCCTGCAATTGTTTCTTCTCTAGCCAATAAAAGGAGCCAGATTGGGCTCTATTTGCTAAAATGCTATTCAGGGAAATATGGCTCCCAGTACCACTTAATGTATCTCAAGTGATAAAATCACTGGTCTGTGCCAATACTCAGCTTTCAACAATGCATCTTAATAGTAAAGGATCTTCTACTGGAGACATTTCTCTTCCATGCTGAAGAATTTCAGAGGCCAATATTCACCTTGAAGTGAGGACCTTGTAGAAGTTGTCTTAGCTCTTTAATTTCTGGAGGTTGTTGTACTCTATGCAGCAACTCCACTACCTATGAACAAGAGAAGCATACTTCATTTTGAAAATATATAACTTAAACTATTGTTTAAATCAGGGCTTTTCAACCTTTTCGCCCATTGTACCACTTTTAGGATATGGCAACATCCGAGTACCACCAGTCATCTAGCAAAGTGTCAAAAACTTGACCCCCCCCAAAAGGAAAAAATGATAACGTACAGGTAGTCCTCGACTTACAACAGTTCGCTTAGTGACTGTTTGAAGTTACAATGGCACTGAAAAAAGTGCCCCCTAAGCCACAGCCAAGCAAGACACCTGCCTGCCCGCCCGGCGGCGCTCTTCCTCCTGTCCGAGGCTTTCATTGTTGTGAGCATTTCTGTTGAGGATTGGCAGCGGGGGTGGGGTGGGGGGTGTTTGGTTTTTATTCCCCCCGTCTGCTGGGTGATTGCAGCAGGTTTTGGTCACTTCAGCTGACCCTGGGACACTGTGACCGTCATAAATATGAATCAGTTGCCAAGCATCTGAATGTAAATCACAAGACCCTGGAGATGCTGCAACATTCCAGCTGATCGGTGCTTCTTCTGGGCTCAGCAGAAATGCCAGGATCAGTGCTGCTTTCTAGCTGATTGGTGCTTCTTCAGGGCTCAGCAGAAGCACCAGGATCAGTGCCGAGCTCCAGCTGGAGCCTGGCGCTGATCCTGGCGCTTCCGCTGAGCCGACAGCCCTGCAGCTCCAGCCTCTCTCGCTCAGGCTTGTGCGGTGCTGCCACCGGTTCAGCTCATTCCCCTCTCCCGCTACCACTTTTCTAGGATGGTCACGTACCACCTGCCAGGTGCCAATGTACCACAGGTGGTACCCGTACCACTGGTTGAAAAGCCCTGGTTTAAATAGCACATTGATGGTTATAAAATACAATTATGTAAAACATAAAGGACAATTTGGTGCAGTGGTTAAGATTAAGAAACCAGAAAACCATGAGTTCTAGTTCCACCTTAGGCACAAAGCCAGTTGGGGGACCTCTGGCAGGTAAACTTTCTTTTAGCCCTAAGAACTAAGCAAGGGCAACCCATTTCTGAAAAAGAATTTTGCCGAGAAAACTGCAAGGAGTAGTCCAAGCAGTTACAAGGAGTCAACATCGAATCAAAGCTATTTTATTTCTGTGGAACTTGTAGTATTGAAAGCAAAAACTAGGCATCAAGGAAACTGCACTTAATCTCAACTCCAGCAAACTCACCTCATGCATCAATTCTTGTGCCTGGGACATGAATGGGACAGGTCTTCTCTTGATATACTGATGAAGGCATTCATACACCTAGAAAGAGATGAAGTTAAGATGTTGCTGCCACTATGCAAGGTCACAATATTAGAAACTTGGTACATAATGCAAAAGCCCGACTCTCTCCTCATACAAAGCAATGTGAATAGGCCAGGAATCAAGCCCAATTTTCCTCAGTACAAATTTTACAAGACCTATATGTGTAATGATATATGAGAATGATCTTTGGGAAAAGAAACACAGACTAGATAATGTCAGATAAGAAGAGCTCAGCATGCAGAAGAAATGGGACATAGTAATAGTCTTTGAAGGGACCTTTCCTAGTTTATTGGACTGTAAAGGTTGTGGGGGAGGGAGAAATGTACTGTCAGACTTGCAAGTTTCTGTTAACGTAACCTTATAATAAAGTTAGAGTTAGTAATTCTGGATGTACCTCTTATCTGGACTACCTCATGAAGTTGACAGTATGCCTCTTCAACATACTGTATACTGGCATTGAGCACTGTACACTGTATTCTGTTCTCTGTCCTAAACTGTTACCAAAGTATGCTTCTTGCATGACTTGTAAAGCAAAGTAGAAAGTTTTTTTAGTTATAAGATGATAGGAACAATGGCCATTAAGAAACATTTATGGTACTGAACCTTATAAATGTAAAAGGTTGGAAAGGAAGTGAAATCCAGAGAATTTGGTTGTCTTATTTTAATACTGTTCCATGTAAGACCATGGAAACATGGGTTTAAGAAATGCAAAAGAAATTGATTTGTAGTTTACTACCAAACCATTCATAGGTAGTTTAGTATCTAAAATTTGAGTTAGGCAAAAATTAAAATGGGTTTATACTATGGAACTGTAATAATTATTTGTTTCTGAAGGTAAGAATGGAATAAGCCTTCTGTCATTTGTTTTTGAAGCTCATTCAATGATTAAATAGTTAAAGTTAGAAATTCTTAAAAGCAGAGAAGTCTGTTTCTGTGAATAATAACCAAGGGAAGACACAAAATTTGCAGTTGTTGGTTTTTGGAAGAGATTTTACCTTTAGAAGAGCCTGCAGCCATGGAGACCTGAGCAGTTCATATAATACACCATCAATATCCTTCTTGTCAAAAAAGTTCATTTTGTGCCGGACCAAAGACAGAATGTGTCATAAACCTAACCCCAAAAGACACATCAGTGATATGACTTGTACAGGGTATTTATACAAACATCTTTTATTATTTGGACAAAAGATAAATTAAAAATTATAGCATGACAAACAGTTCCTTATCCTGATTATAAATGGTTTTTTGTTATAATTTGTGTTTTGGATTAGAAATGTTCTAATTTAATGGCATGGTTTGAAGGTATATATGTACCCTAAATGTGTATGTGAACCCTGCATTTTTTTCAGGCCATAATCAAAATTGGGAGACTACAGTATGTTGTAAATCTTTTTTTCCCCTTAGTTTTTATTTATTTATTTACAAGGCTTGCCAAAATTAAAACAGACATAAATGTGTGATAAACAGCTGACTTCCCAGTTATGCAAATTGTCACTTTATTCTGCTATCCTACATGGTGCAGATGGCAGTTGTTGCTAGGAGGGCCTTCGTGCAACTTTGAGTTGTGCTCCAGTTGCACCCATTCCTGGACTGGAAGGCTCTGCTCTCAGGTATTCCCACCTTGGTCACCTCCTGAATGGACTGTTGTAATGTGGTCTACATGGGGCTGCCCCTGAAGAGTATTCAAAGGTTTCAATGGGTACTTAATGCTGCAGTGCAGGCAGTTATGCATGCCCGTAGGGTAACACATGTTATACTGTACCTCTAATTTGCAGCCTACATTGGCTGCCAGTTTGCTTCTAGGTCCAATCTGAGGTGCAGATTTTGACTTTTAAAGTCCTACATGGCCTGGGACCAGATTATTTATTTATTATTTTATTAATTTAATTTATACCCCGCCCTTCTCCTCATGGGACTCAGGGCGGCTAACAGCCTCATAAAAACTACAATACAAATACAATAATTAAAAGCCGAATTAAAAAGAAATATTTAAACAGGCCGATCATTAAAATTGTCCTTAAAAATCCCCTGAAAAACCCCGCTAAAATTCCCTAGGCCAGACCCGCTTGTTGGAAAAGCCATGTCTTTAGGGCGCGGCGGAAGGAGGGGAGATCCGGGATCACCCGGATCTCTGGGGGTAGTTCGTTCCAGAGGGTGGGAGCTCCCACCGAGAAGGCCCTCCCCCTGGGGGTCGCCAGCCGGCACTGTCTGGCTGACGGCACCCTGAGGA